TAATGTCGCTGTTTCCTATTGCACAGTCAACATTTACGCTTCGGTATTGACATCTAACGGTCAACGCAAGGCATTTTCATCCGACAGCGTTTGGTCTAAGAGAGATTACACAAAATCCCGTGAGCGCAATTCGGCAAAACGGATTCTTGCCAATTTTATCTTGGTCCGTAAGAAAAGTAGATTTACGGAAATAATTGCATTCGCAAATCAGCACAAACTTTCCTTTAGATCAAAAACTCCCAAAACCCACAAACAATGCTAAACATAAGCAAAATTTCACAGACGTTGCAAATAACGTCCTTTTAACGCTTTGGACTGTACTGCACGCTCGGTTTCCTTTTGGATGTTAGTCCTTCGTAAGAACTTCCAATCAGAATGCCGTATATCACGCTAAGTAATAAGTTCGAAATAAATGTTTATTACAGGAAATGCCTCCGTTCTTCTTTCATGCCGTTGATTTCGATGTCTTTGCTCTTCAGTAACCGGTTGCTTTTAAATTGAGTATTTTTAAGGATTTAGACATTTCTGCGCATGGCTATTGGCAGTGTATATAGGCAGGCAAATGCTTCTTTAGGTGACTTTGTCTTTTTGTTTTCAGGAATGCGCCATGATCTTTTCTATAAGAGAACATGGTTAAGGTGACTTGAACGGTTTCACTCTAAACGTTTTGCCCTACGTGTGCTTATTATGAAATTAAAGAAATAAGAGTACATCCAGGTTCGAACAAACTGCATTGACCTCATCGTAGGGTGCTAAGCTGCAGTATGCAGCCCCCGTATCTGCTTTGTCGGAAGCCCGATCGCTGCTGATACGTGAAAACCAAAAACGTTTGTTCTCAGTTCGGCACTTTAGTGGCAGAGTAGACAGGTAGTTAATAGTACGTTTTCCGAGCAATCTCGGTTACACACACAATGCAGAGATGCAAGAAATTGGACGAGTGCCATTATCAACCTTGCTGCAGTCGTCTCATATAAAAGTGAAGACGAGTAACAAGATAATTGTAAACGTGCAATTAATGATTAGGATAAAATTTATGAGGGAACCAGAACTAATAGCTACGTTTCCTCCTTCGAGTTTAGAAAGAACCACTGTTAGATTATTTTCGAATATCGAGCGGCATGCAGACATCCAGCTTTTGCATCTTTTATTTTAAGGAAAACGGCGCAAATCGATTCATAAGAAGGCATATTTAAAACAGTTTAATCGGAATACATCTAAGATTTTTTTATTTTGGGTGGGTTTTTTGTAATGCAAATAAGCGCGCTGCGACGCACTCTCATGCAAGCCGACACAAGTGTCTCATATTAGAGTGCAATTATGCAAATGTCACCTCATTTATGTAGTTTCACGCATGATTTACTCAAACTCATCGTCTTATGTTTACCTATGTAATATACACATCAGTGCTTGCCTCGTCACAAGCGCGGTCGCTCGTCACTGTCGACAACTTTCTGATCATTATACATATCTCAATTTCAACGTTCATATCAAAACATACTCGCAGTTAATAGTAAATATTTTTAAAAAAACCCTATTATAAAAAATAATAAGATAATGATAAGATGTGTAGCCGGTGTAACTGTTGACAATGCTGTCTTCGTTACAAAGAAAAGCTAACAGTAATGAAGATCAATTATAATTTCGAAGCTGTTGACTAACACTACGCGATAGGATCGGAGATGTGACTATGTTTTTTGCAGCGTGCTTGTAAAAACTGTTCGTAATTCTATGTTTGGATAATATGTAGCACAGCTAAATCCGACAGGGAGAATAGAAAACCAACTCTTTGTTTCTACATCATAATTCTACTTTTTGCGGAGTACTCATAACAGTAATTTACTGGCATTTTACACGTGTGGCATACGGTGTCTGTTACGATGTTTCTATTTCATGTGTTCTAAAAGCCCTTAAACAAGAATCCATTACGGTAACCATTCTGTCCAAATAAAGATATTTACTTCGAAACAGTTCATAGTCTTGACAACCTAACTGAAAATTGTTCAGCAGAGTTGCTGAATAAAGGTAATTAAAAGATATTGTTTGCAAAGAATAGGTCTTCAAGTAATCATTCATTGGCGTAAACGATTTTACTCACCTCAAAATTCCAGGTGCAGAATTATCTTTTGAAAATTGTTGGCGAAATGGCAAATTCTGCTGATAGGAAACTGAACGAAAGGAGAGAGTTTCACCTCAAAAACCTCAGAGCGTGCAATCAATGTTGATTCCTAGATTTAAAGATGGAGTGAACAGATCTTAGTCCTTCTGCATGCATAGCACCTTGAAAATAGTTAACTGCCGATGAGATATCCTTAACGTAAATTGAACAACGGAAGAGGACATAAAATAGTGATTTGTGGGACACCATCTATAATGGGGTTCCCATCGGATGATAAAGGCCCCAATAAAACTGATGGTTTACGATTAAAATGATATGATAAAATAGAGTCAACAAAGGGGCAATAGCCAAGCATCTGGTGCAATGGAGATTGGTATTAGATTGCCTGAGATTGCGATTAATTGTTGCCTACTCTGGCGGTTTTTGACGGTTTAAAAAGTGCACTGGGTACTCTAAGCTTTCGACTACTGCCTCTTTGGTCGTCGTCTGTTTACTCTATGCTACATCCTCTCGAAAAAATGGCTCATGTATGTATTGACTATTAATAGGTCGTTCGGGTACTGTGGTTCGTCTCTCTTGTCGTTTGGCGTCCTGAAATATACCTCAGCTATTTGGAATATATTGCAGACATAGTAAAGTTTGTGATACAGAAGATGCTTGATGTGAAATTATGGGATCAGGCTTAAATTGGTTGACACACATACTTCCGTAATTAGATTGTTGTACAAAACCCCCAATCTAGAATGGAAAAAACATTTTACATGCGTCCTAACCAAATATCGGATTCATATATTATGAAGCAAAAACAACCTTAAACGTCTTTGGTTTCTTATGTCTTTATGATGCACACTTTTAAGCTTATTGACGTTAAAGTAAAAAGCAACATAACGTCAAGAAATGCGTCGCTAAAGATGCAGTCCCGAACAAATCTCCGTGCTTCTACTTGCCCATTATATAAGAAGATTATATAAAATGACCCAAGGATTACGATGTAGATTTTCCACGTTCACTTGTAAAACATTGCTAAGGACGGAGGAATACGTGCACCATTTATGCGAAGAATGAGAACAGAATTGTGGAAGCGTTCTTCACCAATATACCGATTGTCATTTGCTAGTTTTCGGCCAGATAAGAATGCGTAATTTGGGTTCGCGAAATGACATGAGATAAAGCATATTCGGTTTCGGGAAATCGCACAAGTACATTTCAGGACGTGACAGGAAAGAAGGACGAACATGACGTGTCTCCAATTGGGAAAGCATGGAGTCCGCCATCATTGAAAAATAGAGAACTATAGTGCTTCGCACTTTTTCGGTGTCCATGGACTAACTGACGTATTTCGTCAGGTAAGCAGTCTGATATAGTCTAGTATTACTGGTCGGGACACATGAGTGCTTGCCACTCTGCTTGCTTGTTTTCCCTGTAGTCATTCACGGTCGCGTTTACTTGTTGGCTGCGGTCCTGTAAACTGTACGCATCTTACACGGCTTTTGCCAAGTTTGGTCAACCGTTATTAACGCGTTTTTTTTAAGTTTAAATGGGGGTATCATCAGCATGTTTGGCGGCTAAATGAAAGCTAGATGTACTTTGTTTCAACCATTGAAGTTCTATATACTTTAAACTGTCAAGCAACGTCAGCGTCAATGTAATCGGCTAAAACCGACGACGTGCTTTAAGATATCGTGAATACTGATTTTGAGCTACTCCATATTAACCGTCAAAAATACTTCGCGTCTGCATAATGTCGTCCGGACACTGATCAGAAATATGATGGAAGAGTCAGCGTTCTGTTTTCCAGAAGCTGGTCAGCAGGGAGGCCGAAAACAAACCTTTTAGAAAACATCCCAAAAACCTCATTTGAATCGGGATCACTGTTCTTGGGCGATAGCAATTAGGAAGATGCCGACCTCTGCAATTACTGAGTCCTCAGCTAAGCCAAGGTGCCATATTAAACTATTTCCATCTCTTGTTATTTGTGCGTGTGAAACGACTTCATGTGATTGAGATGACCTCTTGAACGGCCGCGATGTAAACCTGCATGACCCTCGTCGGCATATGTCAAGTTCTGTCTGCAAACCGCATTTATTTATCAGAGTCCATGTGGTCACATATTTTGGACAGATCTTTAGACTAGTTTGACACACATTTTGTCACTGTTAACATGTGCATAAAAGGCGGCAATTTGAAAAAAAATCCATTATGTTGTTTAGTCTGAAAATGAAGTTAAAACAGAGCCACACTACAGAGTTCTATATTAGAAAGCATTTCGATGACAGGATATTCGAGGCGGCATTGACTCCCGATCGCTTTTTCTAGTTAAATAAGGTGATGCATGCAGATGCTCTATTTAGCTATAACTTCGCTGTAATAAATTAAGCGCCGCTGTTTCAAACAGTAAATTCGCTTTCTTGACGAACATTTTGATCCCATCTCCATCCCTCGATGAATGATTGCAGTTGTAATCCCATGAGTCACTGCGTAACTTAGTATGCCGCAAATAAATATACATAAACGTTTTTTCTACTATAAAGATGGGTGTATTTTCCTTTGGAAAAAAGTAAGTCTCTCTAGTTTTGTCGATTGAAAATGTCGTCAGACTATAGGCTTCAATAAAATAAGTGATAGAACTTGATAGTAGGCTATTCAAACATTGCAGCCGAATTTGCCAACCCGCTAAGAATTTTCTAGCAGAATCATAAAAGTACACAAACAGGGCGCTCCTCTCCGGCCTATTGTATCACTAAAGAGCACTCCAACATACGGACTGGCAAAGTGACTGTCCCAACTTCTTAAGTTTCTGACCTCAGATTCGAACAGCGCAGTCAACTCGTCAACGCAATTCTTGGAGAAACTTAGAAGAGTAAGTCTCCTGCTAAGCGATGTAATGGTTTCCTTTGATGTCACGTCCATTTTTACTTCCAGCCCGCAGCACCTGTCAGTCGTGACCATCGAACTACTCCTACGAGAGGAATGTGACGAAACGGAAAATCGCCTCGGACAAGCCCAAATCATCCAGCTCCTAAAGTTCTGTCTCAAGACGCACTTTACTTTTGACGAAACTATCTACAAGCAGGTGAAGGGAACGCAAATGGGTTCGCCGATTTCGGGAATCAGAGCCGAGGTGGTCCTACAGCGGCTGAAGTCGCTGGTTTTCCGACACCACAGACCGAAATTCTGGGCTCGGTATGTAGATGACACCTTCGTCGTCATCGAACGGGATCAGGTGCTGACTTTCAAAGAACAACTCAACGCCGTCTTCCCGGACATTCAATTTACGATGGAAAAGGAGGAGGAAAACAATCAGCTGGCCTTACTCGATGTCCTCGTCTGCCGCAAAGATTGAGGTGGTCTGAAAACCAAAGTGTTCAGTAAAGAGACAAATACGACGCAAATAATGAACTTCAATAGCAACCACCCCATCAGTCACAAACGCACTTGCATAAGGGCGCTATACAGGCGCGTTGAGGCGCACTGCAGTGAAATGGAAGACAAGGCTGCTGAATTGCAATATTTTCGATGGTTAATGAGAGCCAACGGTTACCTGCGCAACTTTGTCAACCAGTGCATACGAAAAGGACACCAGAGACCAAATTCAACTGGCCCCAAATTTTGGCGAGCTCTTCCGTACGTGAAGAACGTCTCGGAAGCCGTCAGTGGTCTTCTCATTCCACTTGGAGTTGGGGTTGCACACAGGCCGGAAGCAACCATTAGGCGCCAAGTCATGAGGCACAAAGACCCACTGCCACAGCAGGAAACGTCTGGAGTCGTCTACCGGATCTGGTGTAGTTGCGGACAAAGCAATTATGTCGAAGAAACTGGGAGATTAATCCGTACGCGAATTGGCGAGCACGCAGCAGCAGTGAGGCGGGGAGACGCTAACTCTCAGGTGGCGGCACACTCGACGGGACCCGGCCATAATTTCAAATTTCAAGAGGCCGAAATCCTCTCAAGGGGTGACAACCGCGTGAGCCGCGAGGTGCTCTAGTCATGGTTCTCAGACCCGCAATACATCAACTAGCACAATGACCTTCCGGTACCATATTCCGTCCTGAGATTTTCCCTGGGCAGGATAATCAGTCACGCGAAGAGGGCGCGGGCGAACAATTATCCCAGTGACAGTGGGCCAAATTGCCGAGCCATCGTCACACGAGCATCCAGCATGGATGACGAAATTACGACAATTAACGACTCGGACTCGGACCGACAAGCCACCACCGCATCAATGACAATCCCAGCGGTGATTGCGATGGTTTTAAATTACAGTAAACCTACGGCCCCACGACAGCCACGTGCTATAAATACAGCACGTCTTGTGCCACCATCACCTTTATCTGCGAGTGTTTCTGGTGATGGATTCGAGTGACAATCCGAAAGGTCAGGCCAATAAATAACTTCTTCCAGCGATCACATCTTCGCCTTCAGAATTATAAATGTAAATTTTTCAGACAGTGCTGAACAAGTTGTAAAATCGAGGACTTCGAACGCGTCGACAGCTTTATGTAGCCATGCTAGTAGATTCTAAAGTAAACATTGGTTATTCTGACGAAAGACAAATTGTAGACAAAATAATATAGCAATATTATGGTATTTGTTTATTATATTTTGCATTTCTGCTGCCTCTGCAGCAAAGAACAACTAGTGGAGATGGTGTTCATCCAAGCTGAATGCGCAGCGTTTTAGACTTTTAAACATTCTCACATCGGCTTTTGTTGTCATGTTTCATGAGACAGGTCACGAACTGTATGCTACTCACTATGTCAAACTTCTGAAAACTATGAAAAGCCTACAACATTCATTGCAAACATTTTAACCATTTGAAATCTTAGTTCATGGAGGGGAGTTATTTAGCAAAGGCATGCGATGTACAAAAATTAAGATCGATGTCGGGCCTCATTATATGAAGTAGTTTTATGCACGAGCATTTGGCTCACAGTAAGGCGTAGAGAGACAGCATTTTCTGCAATCAATAAACTTGCGCAATATCGATAGAGATGTTATGCGTGAAACATTATGAACGATGTAACATCATCACCCATGACGTTTTGAACGTTTTCTCTTTTACTATCATCTAATCGCGCTCTGACTAGTGGCATGAATCCTACATTTAAACTGTGCAGTGTAATGGGGCTTACAAAACAGGACACTTCGAGGCCTATTTTACAGCAGAACGCCTTATTACAAGTTATTTTACTGAATGACAGTAAACATCAACGTTCTGTGACATTGGTTGCTTAAACAAATTTGAACCATTTGTTAAATTTGTTATTTAGAAAGCTCTAACCAGACGACAGGTTTTAATTTACAGATTTCCAAGCATTATTGATGGTTTTTTATTTACAACCGAATAATCATGTCAATTATTCATCCCCAGTCTTGCTATGCAAGGGCTGCTACTCGAACGTGTCCATTTCTTAAGAATTCTAGCAATAAAAGACAGGCAGTATTCATAAAAAATAATACTACACATATCTAAATTATCCTTAAATTTCGTCAATAATTCAAAACGTCTTTATACGACCTCCTCTAGTCTTCTGAAGACCGAAGGTTAAAATTGGCAGTCTTTGCATATGCCAAGAGAAAGAACGTTTACGCTCTCTGCTCCTTTGTCCGTTTCTGTAATTGTGCTAGTGTACATCATAATAATATTTTTAGCGGATATGCTCTGGAAGTCGGCCAGGCATCTGTAAATCACTAGTATCTAATTAAATGTTGACGCATCATTTTAACTACATAGACCAAGCGTAGCCGAACTAATTAAAATAAACATCATGCTGCTAACTGTCGATAGATTAATCTGTGACCCGTAATCTGTCCCTGAAGTACACTAAGTCATCATCATTTTTTAAACCCCCTTACCTATAAGAGGCGCTAGTGAGACAGTAAATAGTTTACATAATGCTTTTCGAGGGAGCTGAATCAGATGAATATTACTGGGGCAAATTCGCTATATCCTACAATTTGCCGACGAACAAAATGTCCTAATAACATGTTAGACAGTATGCCACTTAGACATCTTACATCATTTTGTGAATCAAAAATGCGTACATATTCGAATATTGTTTGCTAACCTTTACTCAAGTGCATTTAATAGTTTGTTGTTAATATTTACCGTTTGAGTTTACGCAGATTTTTTTTACAAATACTAGTTTCTATAATTTAATCTATAAATCAAAACTAAAACAGGGTTCGTCAATGTTTAAGTTGAATATTTTGAAAAGTCACGGAGAGCCTATAATGGCAGGCATAATTTTCGGACTGTCCGACAGACGTAAAAAGACTTGCTTTGCTAAACGAAATGGACACAGACGTTCTGAACAAAGTCAGTTCGCTCAACTGCCGCTGAGGGGAAACATAGAACTGTTGGTGTTTCTTCTAGCATTTGGCAATATAGGCACCGATCGAAGCCAAAGTGCAAGTGAAAGCAATCGGGTGATATAAATGCATCATTTCTCAGAATTGTGCTATCAGTATTTATTACTGCATCGAATACTAAGCACCACTTTAACACCCATGACAAACGACCTTATGAGTAGCAAAAATCAATTGAGTATGGTGTGCATAAATAAAGTGTACATTCGAATGTCTGTGGATGAGTAACTGTAACTTTTCCTAGAGACAAATAGAGAAGATAGCACGCTCATGAATGAAATGGGACCGGAAGATTTGTTAGTTGACGGCGGAATCCCAAGCAGACGCATTTTCATATACATCAGCTAGTCACGGCAGACTCTTGGAGATGATTTTAGAAAGGTTTCCTGGGCCAGAATATTGACGTTGCGAAGGGTTACGTCTTTTCACACAGAAGTCACACTACCTCCGACTTGGTCCGAAAGCAGACGATTTCGATCGAGGTCAGGAAAAGTTAATTCAGAAATATACAAATAACTGGAATATTCCTCATTATAGAAGTAGTTAACTACGGCCACTGTCGTCAAATTTTTGAAAGCTGCCTCCAGTGTTTCCATGACTTTTGGTGTTCTCATTTGTCTACCGTACTTTCGAATATTCTATTTAAAATATCATTATCAGTTAAGTGCTAACAAGTTCAAAATACAATTATTGGCTGCAGGCGTTTAAACCTCTACAAACAAACTAATGATGACAGACTCTAATGGACTGTCTTACCAAATGAGTAATCCAGAAGTAAGTAACGGGCAAATTAATAAAGCAGTAAAATATCATGTGTCTTTGCTCATGGATTACGTCTAGGAGAAGACATCTGTCTGTTGGGCTGTTACCTCTTACGGGAAAATTAAAACTTGTTATCGTATCATCATTCGTCACGAAATAATGCAGCATATACGGTTGGGTGAACAGGTGCCGCTCCAAAAACAACGGAAGTGAGGCGTGAGAGTTCAGTTTGGGGGATATATCTGGTGGCAGAATATTCCTCAAAGACTCTTTTGAGATAAACGAAAAGATGCAGATTATAGAAAATGTATGTGCATATTGTTTACCTTTGTGATACAGTTAAAATTGACAGTTGTCAGGAATGTACTTGCCCCACACTCACTACACCTAAGTCACCATGGAAAATCTTTTGATATTTCAGCATACGTGAGTCCTCTATGCTGTACTGTTTGAAAACTAAGGATGTTATCTGGCCTGTGATCAACAGGTCAGTAATATAAATTGTATGCCTTGCGTCTTGTTTCGTTATTCTATTTTCGCAAACATTTTATGCCAATTTGAGTTAAGCGTTTCCCTGGCTGGATAAATAGGTTATTCTGTATGGTCAGCCTGAGCATTCTTGACCGATAGGCAGCATATATATTGTGTCCTCTTGACGAACACCAAGTTTTGGTTGGATTATATTATGAACAAAAGATATGAAATAATTTTGACAAACACACTCTTGTCAAAGTAAGAAAAATGCAGATTAAAAAATAACTTTGTTCACACTGTTTGCCATTTGGACGACCGATCTTAGCAAACACAGTATTTGATCTACAAAACATTCTTTCTTAATGCCTTCGGAAACAGCTGGTACGTACGGCATGTTTTCTTTTAATAAAAAGCGACATTTTTTAAGTTCATTCAACTGCAAAGATTTAATATATTCTGTAGCTGATTTAGCAAGGACTCGATATGCTGACATTTGAAAAAAAGTAAGGGAAGTATAAATACCTTGATCAGATCTGCAGGCCTTGACAGTAATGCGCAACAGTCGTATGACAATAAAAACACGTGCCATTAGCTTCGGTTTATCAAGGAAAGTAAATGATGGAGGAACGGCTGTTAACCACTTAAATACCAGGCAATGCGTAGGCTGTTTAATGTTAACCTGCTAAACTCAGACAGCGTGTACTAAAACAACAACAAAGTTCACTCGCTTTTAGACAC